TTGAATACCCAAAGTTGTAGGTATTGATCCAGCAATGGGATGGTATGAGTGTGACAATGTAACACCCGGGATGGCATCACTGTTTTAGGACCCAGTCTCTGCATTCTCAAGGGCTTCCCATGCACTCAGAACCCACAGGACAGGAGCCTGGATGCTTGCTTTATGAACTGCAGATCAGTATCTACCAGGGACACTCCCACCTTGGAAACCTGCAGTGAGGTCATCCCCGGACTGACTGCTGATGCCTGGCAAAGGGTTGAATAGGGCCAGGAAAAAGCTTGTGGTTCAAAATCACTCATAGGCTATAAACAGATTTCACCAAATGAAGTACATCAGCTGTGCTGGAAAGTGTTTGGAGTACACTTGGAAAGTGAAATGAAGTACATCAGCTGTGCTGGACATAGCTGATCTGCTTCATTGGGTAAAAAAGCCATTGTCCATTGTCCTGCAGGGTCAGGCCCTGCTACTCCCAGGAGTTTCCATGTGGTTTCCCCGTTTGCATACAGGCACCAGAGGAAGTAACTCTGCAGATGGGGGAAACGAAGCAGGTGCTTGAAGGGCCTGATCCTGCTTGAGTATTTCTGAGGCATTCAGGATCTGGCCCCTCACATCCCAGGAGCCCCTGCCCAAAGCAGCTGGACAGCACAGGCAGCTCTAGGCTGCCTGCACTCTCCTTCCTTAAAGCAAACAAATATACTCCACAAAATAGCAGCACAAATTCATACCACCTATGTCACAGCCACAAATTCTGGGCATTTGTGGTGCAACAAGGGGCAGGGATGTCTGTTTGCTTGGCTTTAATGCTGTCATAAACATTTTTATGTGGCACAGAGGAAACATCTGTTTCCAGCCATAGCTTTAACATACAGGCTAAAGGTGCAATCCTGCCTGGTGCTGAGCATTCTCAGGGAAGCCACTGGGAGTGGAGACTTAGACCCAACAGGTCTGTTTAACTATCACAACCATCCTCTTCCTGGTTCATCTGGCAACCTAGAAGCCAAGACCCTATTGGCAGCTGCATCACTGACCTGGAAGGATCAGGTGTGGCTGTAAAGAAATGGATACAGGGCAAAGCTGGGTCCTGGGGAAGGATGGACACCATGCTACCCGTGGTGCAGAAGCCCTCCGAGTCCACACAGATCCCGCTGGCCTTGTCCCTAAGGATGCCCATGATGGTCTCCACCGTGATGTGGCCTAGCAATGTGAGGAAAGAAACAGAATAAGCAACTCCATAAGCGCTGGGGACCAGGCTTCCCCATCAGCTAGCATTAAGTTAGGTCACTGCACCCCCAAAAGGAGGTGGGACTGACTGGGTTTTTGGCAGAGATGACAGCAACCACCAGACAGGCCTTTGTCCTCATGTGCCTGGTAAACAGACATGGCACTGCCCTGGCAAAGGCCAACAGTGCCATTCCCAACTCCCACCAGGTCCCAAGCCCGCACCTGCATGCTGCTGCAGCAGCTCCCGGCCAGCACAGTACCGAGCCTTGGCTGCGTCCATGCGGACAGGCTGATGGGTGAGTGAGAAGATTTCAGCAAAGTTGAACTCCCCATCCCCACTCCACCAGCCCTGGCTCTGGGCATGGTGCCTCAGCTTCATGTGCTCAGCAGCGATGTCTGTGCCAATGCTCAGCTGGTTGGAGATATTTCGGGCCCCTTCTGAAAAAAGAATCACTGGTCAAGTTAGACTGTGTTTGAGGAGAGGGTTCTTGGGAAGAGCCCAGGTCAGCAGCCCTGGAGACAGGAAGCTGATGTTTACCATCAGAGCAGAAGTAACAGCAAGGCCAGTTTCTTGGGAGCTGTCCTGCCCATCTTCCTGACCCACAGAGACCACTCTGAAGGAATTAGAGGGTTCCAAGGGCAAATACTCATCTTCTTTGTCACAAGGGAGGACTGGCAGTTGGTGGATTTGTGCTACAAAAGTGAGCCAAGACCCTCAACACTAAGGCCACCAGAGGCACTGGACAGAAACCTATTATCTGGCCTCCTCTGGATGAGACTCAGTAACCACGACATGAAAGGGTCTATGTTCATCTGAGTCAACCATACCTCTTGGTTCTCTCTCATCTTTCTGAGCTGTTTTTTGTTGTTGTTGTTTTTTCACCCTCCCCTATTTCCCTGCTGGGGTGGAAAGAACAGTGTCCCAGTCCAGCTGCGACTGGAAGAACACACTGCTTCCTCAATGGCACCTCCAGCCTTGCCAGTCCTTTGGCATTTCCCTCATGTTTATACTGCTAACCTCTGATTTTCTCAGCTGCCCAATACCGGCCAGCCGTCTCCAGCACCCAAGCTTCGGTCCGGTCTGCCAGCAGGAAGGTGTTATGATAGATGAAAGGGGTGGGCTCCTCCTTGCAGCTGCCTCCTTGGCCATAGCGCTCCAGCAGAGTTGTGATCACCTGCACAGCTTCATGGGCTGAACGGCCCCTCTCCAAACCTAGCCTGCAGCACATGGAGCAGAGAAAGAAAGAACTGCAGTAGGATGGAGGTAAGAGTCCATGCTCTGCTCACCTTCCTCCCTGCCCAAGACCCAAACACAAACTCCTGCAGGAAGAGGAGATTCGTAACACATCCAGAGAATGCCATGGTCTGGCTGCCAGCTGGGCAGGTGGACAAAGCATGGGCATCATGCAGCTGCCACTGCATGGGTACTGAGAGCTCAGATCAGATCAGATTATAGCCCAGCAAAGAGAACATCTGGCTGATAACGCTGAGTGGCCCAGGCACAAATCAGGGACTGTGGTTGGCAACCATGGCTGTGGTGGCTCTCTGCCTCCTGATCCCTCCCTTTCCCCCCCATCTCACCTGACCAGGTCCATTCCCAGCAGAGCCTCCTCCTCTCCAACAGGCTCCTTGGTCCACACACCTTCATTCCCAATGCAGACCCCATGCTCATTGGCTCCCATCTCTGCTCCCCACAGCCAAGCTGGGCGGCTCAGGATGACCGCGTGGGTCTTCTCTGCTTGGTCAACCTCAATGTACGTACACTAGAGAAAGGATGGGGGAGAGGCCGGTTAGCAAACTGGACTGCAGGACATGCTCTTTTCTTGGTCCAGGGGCCCAGATCCACCCAATGCAGGGGCCTCCATTCTTCCCCAGCACTTGCTGTTCTTGGCACGCGGACCACTCACCTGCACCTTGGTCCCATTGGGGTAGGCTGCAGCAGGGAAGTAGACGACTTCCTGGACCTCATCGCTGGGCCGGTCTGAATTTTTGCCAAAGATCACAGCCTGGGAAGCGGTGGCTGGAGGGAGGGCCACGAAGCAGTCACAGGAGGAAGGTTTAGGTGGGATGTGCTCAGCCATCCTAGCCAAGTGGGGAAGAGACAAGATGAGTCAAGGCTATGTTAGAGAAAATTTGTCCCTGCAGGAAGTGCGTCTCAGCTGGTGCCCCCACCCTCTGCCATAGCCAGCCAGCTGCTTCCTGACTATGGGAGCCACCTGTGCCAGCAACAGGGGGGGGGCGGCCTTCATCCTCTGCCACCGAGGTCCAGGACGTACCCTGCCCTTTTCTCCTGACAAACTCACTTGCCAGGCCCCCTAAGACAGGACAGTGGGGTGGGCAAGCTCCTGGGCCTGGGCAAGTCCACAGCCAACTCAGCTGGGGCCTTTAAAGGAGAGGACCCCAAGGTCACTCTCCCCCACGATCCCCACCCAACCCCTACTGCGGTTCTGGTTGCAGGAGCCCCTAGCCCCCGGCGCTGCTGCCCGCAAGTCAAGCTCGCCCCGGGAGGGCCGCGGGAAGGGGCGGCCTGGGGCTCCCACCCGG